TGTCTAGTCCCTTATATTATACAGAAGAGAAACTTTATTTTTCCTCTAATATAGGTACGCTTCTTAAAAACAGCATGTCAATTTAGTGTCATTTTATATATAATTCTCGTAATGTAATTATATAGAAGTTGCAATGTAAATATTTTATTAACTATATTATATACATTGATTAAAACTACTTTTACGGATTTTATCGCGTTTAATTTTCGTTAAAAATAACGAAAATTAAACGCGATAAAATTTCCCGACGTTTCGGGTGCTTTCCAGCACCTATGATCACGGGGGACTGACGTCCCGATGTCATTGTTAAACCCGGAGTACCTTCAGTTTTTTTAATTATTGTTTATGGTCCGATCTATGCAAAATGAACTTACTGTGTCTTGAAGTCTTGCAGTTGTATGCTTGTGTTTAGTTTTAAATTTATTGACTATAGGGTCCCAAGCAGGTGGTAGTACCCAGCCCCCTTCTCTATTGAAATAAGGAAGTTTTTTTAATTTTAATAGCCTTACGTATCATCCTTGGTAGGAATTGGTGTTCTTTCCCGAGGATTTGTGGTCTATCAAATCTGATGTAATGATTGGGGTTATCTAGAATATGATCACAAACTGCAGATTCCCCGGAACGTTGATGCTTCACATCAGCTATATGTTCTTTTACGCGGGATCTAATTGATCTTTTTGTTTATCCCATATAAGAGAGACCACATTCACAATCAAGCTTGTACACTCCTGCATCTTGTAGTGGAATATGACACTTGACGGATGGTAAGAACTGACTAATCTTCTTCGGTGGTTTGTAGAATGTTCTAATAGGCGCACGCTTTAAAATGTGGCCAATCTTGTCTGTGACACCTCTGAAATATGGTAGCAATGTAGGCACACGCTCGACTGTGTACGGCTTCACTCGGTCACTGTAACGGGACAAGAAGCTTGTTGTCGTGCAGAACCTTCTTGACGTGCTGAAGCTCAGCGGCTGGGTGTTTGCTGTCACAGATCAATCGTGCTCTTTGTAACAAAGATTTGCCCACGGTAGCTAATTGTGAAGGATGGTGGTGAGATTTACCATTTAAATATCGGTTTGTATGGGTCTTTTTTCTAAACACAGTGTGACCTATGGTGTTGCTAGGATTTCGAATGACTAACACATCTAGGAAAGCTAGGGTATTATTTGCCTCTACCTCCATAGTAAATTGAAGTTTAGAGTTTATGGAATTAAGATATTCTAAAAATGCAGATACTTTGAATGACGGTAAAATTGTGAAAGTATCGTCTACCTACCGCTTATAGATCCTTGGTGTTACAGGTACAGTAAGGAGAGTTTTCTCCTGAAAGTCTTCTATGAATATATCGGCGACAATGGGAGATATAGGTGAGCCCATCGCAACACCGTCTACTTTTTTGTAAAACTCTTCCTTCCACAATAGATAGCCAGATGTAAGGCAATGTCTGAGTAGTACTGGATATTCTGCGGGCAACTTATTTTCCTCTAGTGTCCTAGTTATAATTGAGATGCAGTCTTTAACAGGTAGGTATGTAAATTTAGACTGAACATCAAAAATAATCCTTAGTATGTGCTCTTGTGTGTCCTTTGAGTGGTGATAATATTTTGACTAAGTGTTGAGCCAATCTGTAATTTGGCGAATCATACTGACTCACTATTGGACGTGATGGAGCGTTCGGTTTGTGTATTTTTGGTAACCCATACAAATTCAGTGGTATGGCACATGAAGATATTATTGAATTAGCGTCTAGATTCAATTTCTCGAAGTGTTTCTTAAATAGATCACTAGTGGTTTTAAGCGTATTAGTTGTAGAGTCTGTTTTGACCTTTCAGTGTGTAGTTTCATCCGACAAAAGTTGTTGTATTTTAAAATTATAACCTGACGTATTCACTATAACTTTAGCAATACCTTTATCTGTGCGGAGAATCATAAGCTCTGGTCTGTTGCGCAAGTTTTTCAACGCGTTAAATTCATTTTTGAGAAGATTTAATTTCGGCTAAACTTCGATGTAATATAGACGAATGACGTATGGCCTCTATTTCTTCATTACCAACATTATTTTTACACAGACAATCCTCATCACTACAGTTAATGTCTTCATACGTTATTTTTTGCGGTGTTATTGCGTAAATTAACACCGGTAGGATAAATGATATTAGATTATCTTAAATTTAACCCTTCAATATACACATGGTCGGATCCGACCACACCCACCCACAGCACTTTAAACCATAAAAACGTTTAGCACATTAAACCATAATAAAGTTTTGTATTATAGGCTCTATCTAAAATACTCTATTCTCTATTACAATAAGAACTCAGCTAGTCTATGGTATTTATTTATAATCTACGTTTATTTCATACGCCTGTTAGGTGTGGCGTGTTATTGTGTTGATTTTAGGATTTTCCTAGTGTTTTACTAGTATTTAGTATAGTGTTTTATTATAAAATTAATATCAAAGGTTTTGTATGAATATAATTTATATTTTACGTAAATAATTTCAAGTAATATATAGAAATAATTGTGATATTCACGCTGCTGTCCTGCGCTGGGTTTATTAAAATCTAGTTGTAAGAAAGTAAAAGCACTAATACAAGTGAAATAATATTATAATGAATAAACAGAAACAAGTTTAAAATAGAAAATAAATGTACGACAAATTCCATGTTAGGTTATTTTTAGTGACGCCGCATCCTTCCTACGGGCTCCCCTAGAAATTGTGCAATTAGAACACCAGTTTTCTTGCTGATCGGAGCATCAAGGTCGTAGTAGACGGTGTATGCTCCGATTACAAGCCCATTAATGCTGGTATTCCACAAGGCTGCATGCTATCGCTAACATTGAAGAATTAAAAAAATAAGTGTAAAGCTGCGTGGAAAGTTATTAGACAGGGATCTGATAAAAGTAATTGGTTACGCGGAAACGATTCGTGTATTTTAATTTTATTCGAGGGTATATTGGCCAAATGTTTATCCTTCCTTTGACCTCACATCCCTTCCGTACACACTGAAAGGGGAAAGGGGGGAGTCTAGAAGGTGACTCGATTCTTTCGAACAATGAGACGCGCACCCGACCAAGGTGCATTGGTGGGAAAGCCGAGGCAATATAGGCTCGCGCGCTGTCTGAACCGCACCACCTGGGACATTCTCGTCCCAGAAGTAACCGCCTCACATAGTGTGAGATATCGTCGCGCACCGCCCTCTTCCTTCACACCACTGGCCTGGATCGCATATCTGGTGCGCTCCAGAAGAACCCACCACACGTCGCATCGCCGCAACGGAAGCGTCGTCTGCCGCATCAGAATCACACCCCGGTAAGTGTGTTATCCCGTAATTTTGTTCCTACCTGAGCATTTTGTTTATTAGTTAACCCGCCCCATTTTGTTTCTCTTAATGTGCTCAAGTAAAATTTCCTCCTAACCTTGACATGCAATAGATTTGGAAGAGCGAGTGCATTGTCCAAGGTGCCGCGTGCCCTTACCGCCATCTTTTTGAGGCATAAGAAGCCATCGCGTATACAGTCCACCTAGTATAATATCTCGCACAATACGGTCAAGGCTCAACCTGGGAATCGAACTCGGGAACCCTTAGGCCCGCCGCCCAACCAGTAATAAAAACATAGTTATAAATGGAGTTGAGGTTGACAATAAATTTATTACAGATCCTACTAAAATCGCTGCATCATTTAATGAATACTTTATTAGTCTTACTAATAGATCTCCAATTAAAAAATGCATTAATACAAATAAAACAACTATATATAGCAGTATTTTTATGAAACCATATGGGTATGCCGATATAATGAATATAATAAGGTCATTGAACGCACAAACGCAGTGGGATATGATTCAGTGTTTACGAAAATATCTTTTAACAGTGGTAGAGCCACGCGGCAGCTTTGCTGTTGCACGTATGGGCCGGCTCAAACCGGGGTGGTACCACGACCTCACAGAATACCGGCGTGAAGTGGAAGCTCTGCTTCCGCGTTTCGTCTGGTGAGTGCAGGTGGCCGGAGGCCCAAATCCCCCCCCCCCATCAACATGGTAGCGGAATTAAATAATGATCGACTACCCCAGGAGGGTACCAGCACCCCTGGAGAATCCCTCGCTGAGCATCCACGACCATGTTTCTCCACTTCTGAGCGTGGGTGCTCAGGCTGCCCCGCGTATTCTGGGGGGGGGGGGGGGGGAATATTCCGCTCAAGACTACAACTGCTCGGGGCAAACGGAGCAACAAGACCAAGGCGATCCCTGCCACGCTGTCCGTGAATTTCTGCAATATCAGGGGAGTTCACTCTAACCTAAACGCCGTCCACTACCATCTCGAGACGGCGAGGCCGGTCCCTGCTCTTTCTGACCGAGACGCAGTTGTCCTCTCCGGCTGATGTCTCGTATCTCTCCTACCCGGGGTACAAACTGGAACACTCCTTTGTGCCTCGGGCTGGAGTTTGCGTTTACGTCAGAGAGGACATCTGCTCTCGACCCCTCGGCAGACTTGAAGGTTCGGATCTGTCCATCCTTTGGCTACGCGTAGACAGCGACGACCATCCGCGAGTCTACGGGTTCCTCTATGGGTCCCATAGCGGTAATGCCGAAACAGTCCGATTATTCGACCACGTCCAAATGGCTGCAGATTCGTTGCTACAGCAGATCCCCTCCGCAGAGATCGTGATCCTCGGCGACTTTAACGCCCATCACGCCGAATGGCTTGGTTCACGTTTAACCGATCATGCGGGGAGATCTGTTCATGATTTTGCCTTGGCATATGGTCTGACACAACTGGTTACTTCGCCTACGCGGATTCCAGATGTGGAGGATCATGCACCTTCCCTGTTGGACCTTCTGCTGACCTCTCACCCGGACGGATATCAGATTTACGTCCTTTAGGCTCCTCAGATCATTGTCTTGTTCGGAGTGTGGTGCCACTCACGCTGAAATCGCGGTTGCATTCTGCAGGCTGCCGCCGTGTTTGGCACTATAGGTCAGCCGATTGGGATGGGATGCGGTCTTTCTTTGCATCCTACCCTTGGGGGCGGGTTTGCTTCTCGCCGGATGATCCCAAAGTTGTTGCGGATTCTGTTGCTGATGTGTTACTACAGGGTATAGAACTTTTTATTCCTTCCTCTGTGGTGCCCATTGGAGGCAAGTCTCAGCCATGGTTTGGTCGCTCCTGTAAAATAGCATCATGCTATAAGCAGGAGTGCTACCAAGCCTGGGCTGATGCATCAGCGTCCCGGGATGTAAACACCAGCGCTCTAAAAAAGAAGTATAATTCCGCCTCTAGGTCCTTCAAAAGAGTCATTGCCAAGGCAAAGTCAGAGCACATAGGCAGAATTGGCGAGAAACTAGTTCGCCTTCCTTCTGGAACCCGTGCATTCTGGTCTCTCGCCAAGGCTGTCCAGGGGAATTTCTGTCAGCCATCTCTTCCATCTCTGCACAGGGAGGACGACTCACTGGCCCATACCGCAAAGGAGAAAGCCGATCTTCTAGGCTCTTTCTTTGCGTCTAACTCGACTCTCGATGACGGGGGGAGTACGCCGCCGACCATCCCGCGGTGTGAGTGCTCCATGCCGGAAGTGCACTTCACACAGCGCTCGGTTCGCAAAACACTCCTCTCCCTGGACATCCACAAGTCGAGTGGGCCTGACGGAATCACCCCAATTGTGCTGAGGACGTGTGCTCCAGAGTTGGCACCGGTTTTAACGCGTCTTTTCCGGTACTCCTACTCCCTAGGCGTAGTCCCAAAATCATGGAAGACGGCTTACGTCCACCCGATCCCTAAAAATGGCGACCGCTCTGACCCGTCCAACTACCGGCCAATCGCCATTACCTCATTGTTCTCCAAAACAATGGAGTCCATTGTAAACTGCCAGTTCATGAGGTACCTTGAAGATCACGAGCTGATTAGTGACCGCCAATACGGTTTTTGCCGTGGTCGGTCAGCTGGTGATCTTCTGGTCTACCTAACTCACAGATGGGCGGAGGCAGTAGAGTTCAAGGGGGAGGCATTGGCCGTTAGTTTGGACATTGCGAAGGCCTTCGATCGGGTTTGGCACAAAGCGCTTCTTTCGAAGCTCCCTTCCTATGGGCTTCCCGAGAAATTGTGCGATTGGATCACCAGCTTTCTTGCAGATTGGAGCATCAAGGTCGTTGTAGACGGTGCAAGCTCCGATTGCAAGCCTATTAATGCTGGTGTTTTACAGGGCTGTGTGCTATCGCCAACGCTGTTTCTTCTGCATATCAATGACATGTTGCATACCCGTAACATTCATTGCTATGCAGATGACAGCACTGGTGATGCTCTTTACACCGGCCGAGCCAATATTTCTCGAGAAAACGTCTCCGAGTGCCGGGACAAACTTGTGTCTGAAGTCGAGTCTCTGCTGGACAGTGTCTCGGATTGGGGGCGACTAAATCTAGTCCAGTTTAACCCCCAGAAGACACAAGTTTGCGCGTTAACCGCTAAAAAGAACCCCTTTGTCGTATCCCCTCAGTTTCAAGGCACTCCCCTTGTTGCCTCAGCCAGTATCGGAATCCTCGGCGTCGACATATCGAGTGACGTGCAGTTTCCTGGTCACTTGGAAGGGAAGGCCAAATTGGCCTCTAAAAAGCTTGGCGTGCTCAGCAGAACGGGACAGTATTTCATGCCGGCACACCGCCTGCAACTTTACAAGGCGTAGGTTCGGCCGCACATGGAATACTGTTCCCATCTCTGGGCTGGGGCTCCCGAGTACCAGCTTCTTCCACTTGACCGCATCCAGCGCAGAGCGGCTAGAATCGTCGACGATCGAGTGCTTTCCTATCGGCTCGATTCACTGGCGCTGCGAAGAGATGTTGCATCTCTTTGCGTATTTTATCGCATCTATCACGGGGAGTGCTCTGAGGAATTGTTCGGATTAATCCCAGCCGCCAAATTTCGTGAACGCACTACACGTCAAACGTCCCGATACCATCCACACCATCTGGATGCTTGGCGGTCCACCACTGTACGTTTCACAAGGAGTTTTATTCCACGTACAACCTCTCTGTGGAATAGTTTACCACCGGCGATTTTTCCGGACCGATACGACCTGAGGACCTTCAAGAAAAGAGCTTACACCTTTTTAAAGGGCCGGCAACGCACCCGCAATTCTCCTGGTGTTGCGGTTGATCATGGGCGGCGGTAGTCACTTAACATCAGGTGAGCCACATGCTCGTTTGCCCCTTCTTCTATAAAAAAAATAAAATAAAATGCTGTAGTAACGATACAGTACACATTTTAACTTACGTTATTAATCTGTCTTTTACAAATGGCAAATTTCCAGATAGATTAAAGAAATCTATAGTAAAGCCACTCCATAAAAGAGATAATAAACGTCATATGGGTAATTATCGCCCCATAACTTTAGTGACTATTTCTTCGAAAATATTTGAAAAAGCAATATACAAGCGCATAATAGAATTCACTTCAAAATTTAATATAATAATATATGAACAATTTGGATTCCAAAACAATAAAGCAACTGCCCATGCATGTTTTCATCTAGTAAAAAATGTTGTTAAAAATTTAGATGACAAAAATCACACTTCAATTTTGTTCATAGATATGAGTAAAGCCTTTGATTTCGTTTCACACAAACTTCTGTTCATCAAACTCGACAACTTAGGCATTCGCGGACTGGCAATTAATTGGATAGAATCATATCTTAAAGACCGAAAGCAAAGTGTAGAAATCTCGAGGTTAAATTACCAGGAACTCGATACATACAAATCACCGTACCTAATTAATGGATATGGCGTGCCACAAGGCAGTGTACTAGGTCCACTTTTATTTTATTGTATATTAATGATATCTCTTATGTAAAAAATAATTTATTGAATTTATTTGCAGATGATATTGCCATGCTATTGACATGTAACAAAAAATCTGACATTGGTAAATTTGTAAATGACATTAATGATTCTTTGAAATTAATAATTGAATGGTTAGAACACAATAATTTACACATTAATATAAGCAAAACCAAGTTAATACAATTTTATAATAAAAAAAAAATAATAAAACAAAGCTAAATATTGTATAAAATGGCCAACAAATAAAACAAGTAAAAGAAATATCCTTTCTCAGTATACATATGGATGCATTTTGTAACTGGAAAACTCACATAGAAAAAGTATGTAATAAACTTAACCGCTTTGTTTACGTACTACGGAACCTTACAAAACCGGCATCGCAATCAACAGCTCTCATGGCGTATTACGGATACGTTAATTGTATACTTAGCTACAGAAATTCTGTAAACAACAATAAATTTTTTATTGTGCAAAAAAATGTCTACGTACAATATGTAATATGGCCCCTCATGAGTCGTGCAAATCAATATTTAGAGATTTGAAAGTGCTAACACTTCCGTGCATATACACTCTTGAAACAGCAAAATGTAAAATAAGCCCGAGCTGTTTTTAACTGCTGGGATATTATCAAATCTAAACCTTTGAGGCATCCAGATAAATTAGTCATTGATAAAATACCAAAAATAGTTAATTAACATAAGAATTGCTATGCAATGTGCATAAAAGTATTTACCGATAACATAAAACTACAACCAGGGAAGAGTTTCGGGAAAGAGTTGAAAAAGTGGCTATTTAATAAATCTTTTTATTCGGTTAGTGAGTTGATGAAAAAAAAACTTTAAATTTTGGACTAATTTTAATAATAATATTTTAGTACTTAATAATGCTTGAAGTACTGTAGCACAATGGCTAGTCCTATTAGGGACTTATGATAGTAAGCTATATTATACTAAAGCATTAAAAAGGCCTCCATGACACATAAGCATTATGATACTAGAGTTGTGGGCTAAAGTCCCATATATAAAAGAAATATAATAATAAGATCTATGATGGAAAAGCAATACTATAGAAGGTCTCTATGATGAATTAGCATTACAATAGTAGAGTTGTGGGTTGAAGTCCTATATATTAAAGACATATAATAATAAGATCTGTGATACAAAAGCATTATTATAGAAGGTTTCCTTGATGCATAAGCATTATATGGGGTGGTCGGGTGACCGACGGCTCTTAGCACTCTAGCATAATTACTAGTTCTATATTAAGGACTTGGAAAGGATTATTATAGTGGCATGTATGCTGCTTCACGAGCAATTGGTCCGAGGTAAACTTGGACTCGCTAACCGATGTGACCTAGACATATCATTTTAGTGCCGGTGGTAAGCGGGTTTGTTGTAACAATACGGCTTTTCCGTGGACATCGCACACCCACACCGTTTTTGGGGAGCGTCGTAGCGCATAGCGATGCATCGTCTATCTTTCGGATTGGGATGAGTGTGATAACACTTTCAAGTGTAACAGGCATACTCAACTTCATGTCTTAGTGCATTAGCGCTGTGATACGTGGAGTTTTGTTCACTGACGTCTTAGTAGCGTGCTACTGATACGTTGGTGATATTTTTTAGTTAACAACAATACAAACTTTGTTACCAAAGTCGATAGGGATCATGTGGGTGTGTTGTAAGGGGGCGCCATCCGTATGATATTTGCATTGATGCTTATACTGCTACTTGCGGTTTCGCGTCTTGTGATGGATCTACGGGTGTGCTGCGTCTGATTCGACGCATTCTTGTGATTCTGGTCGATAGAGGTATGCGTTTGGTAATGACTGCTGGGATATATGGGGGACCTTGGGATGGTGTAAGCCCGACGATAGTCGAATTGATGCTTTCTGACCTCCATGATGTTTTATATAACAACATAATAATATCTCTATGTAACTTTCCTACCTTTTAATGATTGAAGGAAACTTGTTGGTGGGTGAGACAAACATGATTGAATATGCATGTACTCTACGTCGGTGATAGAAACTCATTCTGATGGCGAATTATTACTATTATCTTATAACTGCCTTTTGGCTATATCTGCCGTTGTATTTGTTGGTGGAGCATATGTGTCAATCCCATTCGGGTGGTAGCTGGAGTTAGGATCTGAGGAAACTATCAAAGCAGCGGCCGACAGCTGCACAACGTGGAACCCCCATTTCCTTGAGGTGAGCGGTAGACTCACGATACGCTCTGCAGCTAGTAGCCGTGCTGTTCATGCAATCGGTGGTGATGCCATACACTTACATCACGTTTGCAGTAGCGGCGGTCTTGAATTTACGGAGGGTTAATGGCCAGTATGCCTATTTGCCTGAAGCGTGTGACGTACATTCACTGTAGCTGGATTTGTTCGTAATCTGTATGGCATTTACACGTATTTACATGCGCGACTGCGGTTGATGTTTGTGCTTACGCACTACCAAGGGGCCAGCCCAGATATTTTGCTGTGGACTGTGTAGCTCTTTACTCAACCTCTCAGAAGGCAAGCGTCCAAATTTGACCTCTTCGATATTCCTTCAAAATCCAAGAGGTCAAACGTGACCGCACCCACCCACAGCACTTTAACCCATACATACTTATGTTTAGAGACTTTTTTTCTATGAAAAAGTTTGGCATTATAGAACCAAAATGAAATTTCTATCCTTCAGTGGAATAAAAAGTAACTTTATCTATGTATATTTATTTATAATCTACGTTCATTTCGTATGCCATTTTCGTGTGAATGTTATAAAATACCTAGTCAGTGTTTTAGTATAGTGTTTTATTATAAAATGTTTATGAAAGTTTTTGTGTGAATGTAATTCATCTTTTATTGTAAATAATTTCGAGTAATATATAGAAATAGTTGAACACGCTGCCGACATCCTCTTGGTATTTTTTTTTTTTTTGTTATCAAAATACAGTAAAATCTTCTTGTAATGAAGTAAAATCTGACTTTTAGACCACACAATAGAAAATTCTGTATAAATTTTGTAATGCCAAACTTTTTTTTAGAGTAGTAGTAGTAAGTAATCTCTAAATATAAGTTTTAATGGTTTAAAGTGCTTTGGGTTGGTGCGGTCGCATGCAACTGCTCGGGATTTGCCGGCCGCATGCGACTGCATGAGATTTTTATGGGGATTGAAGAGTTAAATGGTTGACGCTCACCGAGCACAGCGTATGTGTAAATGTGGGAAAGCGAAACTCTTGTATCTAGGTATTTTATTTATAAATACATGTATATTGTGAGCCTTTTTCAAGCGTGAAGGGATAAATAATAATAAATTAACACATTTTCTACTATCGGAAATGAAACGTTCCTCACCTTAGAAACCAAATATTTTTCTCAAATTAATCTTGTTTATATATATATTAGTAAGTCATAGATGTGTGTATTTTCATTATTAATATATTTAAAGAAAAAAAGACCCTTGTTCGGGACCGATTGGTCGGCACACAGCATGGCTGGGCGAAATGGATCGTAGGAGTAGTGGAGTACTAGATGTTAGAGATACCTAAATTAACTATTGTAAGCAATTTGATTATAAGTATATTTAAAATATTGAAATATATTATGTTAGAAATCTTCACCAATATTAAAACAAGGTAAAGGTTTTTATGTTTGTGTACGTATAGGGTTATCTTTGAAATTACTCATCCGATATTGATGAAATTTTATACACATGTAGTATAAGATATAATAGGGATATACAAAGGGATATAATAGTATAGACATAGGCTATTTTATCTCAGAATATTTAAAGTTTGTCTCAGAAGCGCGATATAACTGAATTCCACGCGGGCAAATATTTGTGAAGTACGTT